TCCTCGCTTTTCAACTAGTCAGCTTAAACCCTGTAAGCCTCATTTGTGACCGGAGGGACTTGGCAGGGGCCTTAGAGGGATCCAGTTGCCATCAAGAATCCATGATTCCAGTGTTCTGCTGTATGGTTAGAAAAGAGTTTGAGATAGAATAAAGTGACATAAATTTCAGAATGCCCCGTTTTTTGCCTACATGAATCTCAGACAGTTGGGTGTCTCTGTCCCTAATTGTTAATCACTGTGTACCAACTTGGCATGGTGGAGAGGGCATATGGGCAGTTTCTGGCCTGGGGTATCTAGCATGTCCAAAGGGCGGCCCAGTGAGGGTGATGTGGGGAGAAAGCGTCTCCACACTGGCCCTGGGTCAGTTGGGAGAGAAGCCGACACTGCCCAGTTGCTGCTCGGCCCTCGCTCTTTCCACAGGGCCCCTGAGACTCCTGCACGCCCACGTCACTCCTGAGAAACAGACCTCTCCTCAACCCTTTCCCTCTCTGTCATCAAGGAGAAAAAACCCTTTCACTCTTGGGGATTATTTAAGCTCTATGGCTTGGAAACTGATCTTCAGGGCTTGAAATGAGATCCCTGATGCTGTTTCTGTGGAGAAACAGCCTCACCTGGGATTTCTAACCTCTTCCTGAATTAACTACAGAGGTAATTCCCCAGGGCATTGCAGCTGCTGCCTCTTCAGAGCTGGGGACTCTCCCCCAGGGCTTGGTAGAGAGACTAAAACCTCCTGGGTTGGCACCTTCCAGTCTTCAGGGTGAAGTGGTTTTTATTTTTAATTTTTTTTTGTGCCTGCTCTTTTTCAGTTGGGGATTTCTATGTTTAGTTCTGTTCTCTTTGACCATTTAGTCTTCCCTCATCCCAGCCGTTCAACTGTAATTTGCCTCAGATCTCTGGATTCATAAGTCGGCCACTGAACAAAGGTTTTGCATTTTATCTCTGGTTCACACCAAGATGTGTTTCTGACTCATTTTAGAAGGGCTCTTGTCCTGTTTGGCTCTTACGTTTTAAACACATTATAGCAGAGTGTTTTTATTATTTTACACAATTTTATTATGTGCATGTGTCTGAGTGTATCTTTGTACCATGTGTGAGCAGGAGCCTTTGGAGGTCAGGAGAGTCAGATCCCCTGGAACTGGAGTTACAGACAGTTGTGAGCTTCCATGTGGGTGCTGGGAACCAAACCCAGGACCTCTGGAAGAGCAGCCAGTGCTCCTAACCTCTGAGCCACCTCCCCAGCCCTCATAGCAGAGTTTTAAAACAGACATACAAGTTCTTTATTCTTAGGCAAGCTTTCAAGTGTGTATTAACACAGTTGGGCAGAGTTTTGGTAACCTTTTAAATGTTTGCCTTTTTTTTTTCTTTCTATAGAGAAGGATTGCCACTCGTTGGCCTGTGCTGGGTACATGCGAGGTTAAGACGTAAAAGCATGTAGACAGAAACCCTACAGCTGGCTGTACAGAAGATAGCAAATGCTTGATGCGTCACCAGGGGACAGGGTTTGGTTTTGTTGTTGTTGTTGGTTTTAATTAGGGGGTGGAGACATAGCTCAGCAGTTAAGAACACTTGCTGCTGTTGCAGAAGACCTGGGTTCGGTTCCCAGGTCTCACATCTGGCAGCTCCCAGCCACCTGTAACTCCAGTTCCAGGGGATTCAAACCCTCTTCAGTGCTGCTGACCAAACCGAGGGGGGCTTCCTGCCTTCTGACCGTGCTCCTCTGCTGGACTACCCTCCTGTGCGTTCCCTTTTTAAAGTCATGCCACCGAGAAGGGAGTGGCAATTTAAACAGTTTACATCTGGCGTGAGCTTGTGACTTTTTGATGCTAAGGGAATCAGCTGGAAGTGTCACCCATAAGTCTACTTACAAGGTACCCCCTGTTCTCAAGATTGATTCACAGAACTTCATTTTGAATCCCAACTGCCATTTCCGGGTGTGTGAGTGTGTGTGTGTGTGTGTGTGTGTGTGTGTGTGTGTGTGTGTGTGTGAGAGACTGTGTGTGTGTATGTGTGTGTGAGTGTGTGTGTCACACAGACCCTCCCTGTCTGTCTTGTAGCTTTTCTGTAGATGTACTGTTGTAGCTGGATAAGAAGTGTATTTAGTAGAAAGGCATAGATCTCCGCTTGTGAGTGACAGTCAAGTCTACACAAAGAAACCCTGTCTTGGGGGGAGAAGCCTGCACTGGTTACGCGACAGTGTTGTTGTGAATGTATGTTTGTACTTTACCGTGTATTATCATCATTCAGTCTCAGTTCGTTTCTTCCTGACTCCTCACTGGGGATAACAGTGTTCCTTCCGGAAGGATCCTCTACCTAGGGCCTTTGACTGGGGTAGCCACCCCTTGTTTACTATTCATGTGTTTTCTTGTGTGTGCGCAGGTGTGTGCATGCGCACACCAGTCCACATGTGGCTGTGGGAGCCAGAGGACACCCTTGGGCGTTGTTCCCCGGAAGCCATCTACTCTAAATCAAAGAGATCTACTTAAAATAAATGAGTTGTTAGTGTGTGTGTATGACACGTGTGAGGATGCCTGCTTTACAACACGTGTGTGGCAGTCCGAGGACAACTGTGTGGAGTCAGTCTTTCCTTCCACCTTTATGTGGGCCCCGGGGACCAGACTTAGTGCCCCAGGCTTTATCTATCTATCTATCTATCTATCTATCTATCTATCTATCTATCTATCTATTTATCTATCTATCATTTTTTATATAACAATTTTTTAATTTAACTTTTTACACACGTTACTCTCAGTTCCCTGCTGTTCTTTTGATTAGCTTTTTATCGAAAACTTTTGACAAATGTGTTAGACTGTCTCATTCCGTCTTCATGCCACTGAATATCTCTAATTTTTTAGTAATTACATTTTAATTTATGCTGTGCATCCCCATGTATTTCAGGATGCCATGGCATGCTCTTGGAGCTCAGAGGACAACTTTTGGGAACTGCTTTTGTCTCCAGCCTCGTGGGTCTCTGGGTTGGGCTCAGGTTATCAGGCATTTCCCTGGCTGTATTGTTTGGTTTTAAAAATATATATATATATATATATATACATATATACACATATATACACATATATATATATATTCTATTTTACATTTGTTTCTCTGTCCCCAGTCCTGAGTATAATCTTCAGATATTTCTCCCTCCATTTACTAAAAAATCACTTCAGTAATGTTTAAACTGCTGTTTTACATGTATACTGAATTTTAAGTGTTTAATTGTAATACTTTTCTTTTGTTTTTTGAGATAGGGTCTCTCTGTATAGTCCTTGCTGTCCTGGACTCTCTATGTAGACCAGACTGATCTCACATTTACTGAGATCTTCCTGCCTTTGTCTTCTTCGTGCTGAGATTAAAGGTGTGTGCCAACATCTCTGGTTCAGACTTACAGTATTTTTCATTTATAAATGCTCTTTCTCTTTTAGATATTTCTGGCTAGTTTCCATAGTCCCTTTCTCATTGCTCCTGTATTTAGCCCTTCTGTTAGTTTATGTGAATTAAGCAATAAGCATACCCCATAATTCCAGCATTCAAAATCTATAGATCTGATATATATGTGGAGTTCTTTTGACTTTTGGTTTGGGGTTTTTCTCAGCCTTTTTTGTTTGATTTTTGAGGCAGGGTCTCACTATGTAGCTCTAGGTGTCCTGGAAGTCACTGTGTAGACCAGGCTGGGCTTGAACTATCTATTCTCCTGCCTCTGCCTCTGCCTTCTCCTGAATGCTGATATTAGAGGCGTGGGCCACCACACCAGGCTTCCTTTCCCTCAGCCTTTTAATGGCACCTTATTTCCCTATGCGTCTCATCATTTTTGTTTCTGCGCTTCTGTTTATTTGATCTGTAGCTAAGGAAAGTGTTCGGTGTCTGGTGTGGCAGTGTGTTTTTCTGGCCACATTTTAGTGTCTTTTCCTTTTAAGAGATGGTCTCACTATGTTGCCAAGCTGCTTTCAAACTGATTAGCTCAAGCGATCCCTCTTGCCACAGCCTCCCTAGTGGCTGTGACAGCATGCTTGTGATACCGTGCCTAACCTGAGGAAAATTTATGTTACTCTCTGACAGACATTGAAGGCCTGGCCTTTCTTAAATTAGGACTCTTAAACAGTTGATTAGGACCATAAAAATGATGTAGCTTCTAACCCTGGGGACATGTTTTACATAATTGCTTCAAAGAGTCCAAGTTGAGGTAGATGTTTTTTTCCTTTGGGGCTTAAACAATAGAAATCGGCTGCCTCCTTTCTGGAGTGTAGAAATCCAAGGTCAGATGTCAGCACAGTTGATCGTCTCTGAGGGCTGTGAAGGAGAATCTGCTCCTTGAGGCCCCTCCCTGCCCAGGATTGGCAGGCAGCCTTTGATTTTGGGCTATACCACCGTGACATACCCTCATGTTTTCATGCTCTTTTCTGTACGTGTATCCACGTTTCCCTCTCTTATTAAGATGCCACTCATAAGATAGGGTGGATTAAAGATTGTCTGCACCATTTCACACACATTCGGGACAGATGGCTGGGGGGTGTGAGTGTGTGAAATAAGGTCTGTGGGTGTGTACACACACGTGTGCAAGGGTAGATGGAGAAACCGCGTGTTCAGGTTTGTGACTGTTTGCATAGATTTGCCCTGATGCTGCTGTTGGCACTGTCCAGCTAGAATTTCTGCAAGTTGTGGCTGTTTACAGTGAACAGATACTTTTTTATATGTATTTATTTTTATTTCATGTGTATCAATATTTTTTGGATTATCTTACGTGTCTGGTATCTGCAGAGGCCAGAAGGGGGTGCTGGATCTCCTGGAAACGGAGTTAACAGAAGGTAGTGGGTTGCCACGTGGGTGCTGGGAACTGAATGCAGTCCCTCAGCAAGAGCAGCCAGTGCTCTTAGCCACCAAGCCATCTCTCCGGCCCTAGCGAATGCGTATTTTCTGAATGAGTGGATTTTTTAACATCTGGAGTGAAATGTTCACGCTCTGACTCTGCGAGCCCGCTAACTCAGCTTTGCTTTTCTTGCTAGATGAACTCTCCCTGGAACGGCACGGCCCTTCTCTCCATCACGAGGAGTTCCTCCCCGAGACAAGCGTCATGCACAGTGCCGCGCATGTGGCCTTCTCGGAGACTCCAGGGCCCCAGCCACGCACCTCTGCCCTTGCCCTGCCCTCTCCATCCGCTACTGCTTTTGATGCAGACCTCAGACGGCAGACTCCAAGTGCGGCTGGGCACAGCATCTTTGCGGCACATTATGGATCTGTGACGAGTAACGAGGTGGCCGTCGGTGACGAGGAGATGGATAACTTTCTGCCAGACGCTCCCTGGACTTCTTCACGGGTGGTTTCCCAGATGCAGCCTGTCACACAGAGCCCACCAGAGCCACCCCGGGAAACGCCGGAGCCTGGGATGACTCCATCGCTACCCACGACTGCTTTGCAGGATGAAGTGCTGTCCGGATGTCGGGACACGGCGAGACAGGCCGCGGTGCATGGCGAGTCCTCCAGTGACTTCAGCACGTCTTGGGCAGCTTTTCTCACATCTGAGGACATCATCCCAACTCCTACCAGGAGTGTGGTGCTTCATCCTACAGAAATTCACAGCCAGTTACCAAGCAGGGCCTTGGCAGAGATTGCAGCTTCTGTAACCCAGAGCCCAGAAAACCTCCTGTTCAGCTCCCGGATCTCTGTGTCTCAGCCGTCAGGCGATGGCATGACTCAGCAGCCACCTGTTCCCCTGTGGGAGGTCTCACGGCCTCTAATGGGTGTCCTGGCCACGGGCACGGACGGCTACCCTAATGGAACCACTGCTTGGAGTGAGCATCTGAAAGAAGCCATCTCTGTAAGAACACACTCCAGTGTAACCCTGCCACCTGCAGACCCTGTGCCTCTCAGCCCGCCTTCTGTTTTATTTTCAGCCCCGTTTTCGCCTGGGTCTTTTGCCACCCAGCCAGCTGGCATTTCAGACAGCCCCTTCCTCTCCAGCAAGGCCCGGGAAGCCTTGGAGTCTCCGCATCACTCGACAACCCTCAGTTTTTCCGACCACTCCCGTGTCCTCAACCCCGAGGCGTCCCTGAGTCCACATATGTGGTGTGTGTCCTGTGCTGTGTCATCACCTCAGCAAGCTCTGGCCAGGAGCCTCACAGAGAAGGATGTGGTCTCAGGGAACGGGCTTGAGACTCTGTCTGTGGCCTCAGTAGAAGCAAGCCGTCTCTCGCCATCAAGCAGCGTGGGCACAGGCTTCTCTGAACTTGAAGATCTTCAAAACTTTAATACTCTTTTCCCTTCCAGACCTGTCGTCTCCCTTTCTTCCAGATCTGTGGGGTTATGGAAAGTCAGCATGGATATGTCTCCTGAGGTGGATACGAGGGGCATTACCACCCCCCTGGTGTACACTTCCCGTGGCCGCCTCTCCACGCTGAGCTCACTTGATTCCAGTTTTGGCATCTCTGTCACCAGTGACCTAGTGATGCCATCCAGGGTGACACACCTGTGGTCCTCAGTCACCCCCAGCATCCATTTTGACTCATCTTTCTCTTTGACTGCAAGTCAAACCACGCCATCCCTTCCGACCGAAAGCCCAAGCCTTCTCGCCTCTGACAGCTTGGTCTCCTCAGTAGAGTCTGAGGTCCTTGCTGACCAAGAGTGCACCAGCTTCCTGGAAGCTGAGCCTGGGAGTCTTTTGGATCCCACGTCCAGCTTTTACTCAACTCCACTCCTGGACTTCAGCGCGCCAGCTCCTTCACGGTCAGACGCTCATGCTTTCCCGTCTTTGCCGTCAAGCGATCCATCAACTTTCCTTTCTCAGCTTTCTCCCACCGTGACTGAAACATTTTCATTGTCCAACTCTATCGATTTGCAATCACCTCAGCTTTTTGTTCTTAATCCCACAAGTCTAGAGCTATCTCAGCCTTGGTCAAGTTCAGACCTTCTTGTGAAGACGGTCACTGTCCTTCCTAGTTACTCTGCAGTGCCCCCCCCTCCCGAGCTCCCCCCCCTGGCCCCCTCAAGTTGGACGAAGCATGGAGAGTTTCTCTGGTAGAGTCCGGTGTTCATCTTACCTCAGCTTTCTCTGAAGCTACCTCTGTCTTTGAATTCTCACTCATTCCCCATGAAACCTCAGTCAGCACACTGGTGCCCTCCAGCCCCGAGACCTCCCTTGGCGTCTCAGCCGCTGGGACTCACTTCTCATCCCTGCCAACTGTTCTCCATCTGACACCCATTTTAACCGAGTCATCTCCATTCTTGGCTCTGACACCTTCCGATGGCAGCGTGAGTGTGACACACCGTCCCACTCCTGTCTCGCTCATGTCCTCCAGCGCCATTCTGACCAGCACAGGGTCAATCTCTGACTTATACCTCTCAGCCTCCCCAACACTTGCTTCTGAAGTAAGCCCTTCACCTGTGCCCACGAGGCCAGTCATGGGCTCATCACTGACACCCACAGATTTTCCACCCAGTACCTCCCCAGAACCAAGCACCTCCCCGGGACCAAGCATGCCCGACATCAGCACTGCCCCTGGTGATACCGTGGACTCTGCTCCGAACAGCGAGCCTATGAGTCAGAACCCTCAGGGGAACAGTGTGCCCCCTCCCCAGCCCTCCCTCCGTCCCGTGACCTCCTCCACGCTCGAAGCCACAGTTGGTACGCCAGCACTGGCCACAGCCAAGCCGCCATATGTGTGTGACATTACAGTTCCCGATGACTATTTGATCACAACTGGTAAGGCCCTGCTTCCAGTCACCTCTTTGAGGTAGGGGACTTCTCGAAAGTGCTTGCGTGCAGTGCTTACGAGACACGCCATCGCGGTTATAGAGTAGGTGTGGGTCTCATATAACCTGTGGGTAGCAGTCCTCTTCTTCTGCCGGCCTCATGCTAGTCTCTTAACCTGCTTTCACAAGTGTTAAGTAAGGACCGTAGGCTCCATTAGGTTACTACACCCAGGAAACGCCAACGTTGCATATTAGTTAGTAACTACCACAAGAACAGATAAAAGATTTAAGTGGGATGTGGAGCTTTTGGTATTATCTTTGGCTTTGGAACTCTTTGCCTAGCCTATGCATAAATGGCATGACTGAAGCAAAACACATTCTTGTTTAATTTTTATTATTATTATTGCCATTATTGTTATTATTTTTTGAGACAGGGTTTCCTCTATGGCTTTGGACGCTGTCCTGGAACTAGCTCTCAGAGACCAGGCTGGTCTCCAACTCACAAGAGATCCGCCTGCCTCTGCCTCCCGGGTGCTGGGATTAAAGACGTGCGCCACCACTGCCTGGCCTCTTGTTTACTTTTTAATATTGGCTTCTTTCTTATTGGTAGCCATCTGTTAGGGAGAGAGTCTAGGCAAAGGTAGAGGCATTTTTGTTTTTTGTTTTTTGTTTTTTTTGGTGGAGCTCCATAGTGATGATAATGCAGAGACATACACGTGAGGGGTGTTGGCGGCTTGGAGGGAGGCGCTTGGACACCGACCTCCACTGAGGGGAGCCAGGCTTCCTTTGAAGATCTCCACATCTCTCTTCTCTTGGCCTTAAAGAGGCTGTAGATAGTTAGAAAGAAGTGTGTATGACACATGCTTCTGGATGGTTCCTGTTTCCCAGACTCCTGTCCCCCGTGTCACAGGGCTGTGGTGTGCTGTCTCCCTCAGATCAACCAGAGGAGCTGGCGGTGGTGGTGGGCTGCGGGAACCCTGAGTAGCTCTTACCTACCCTGAGCCTTCCTTTAGCTGCATGGGCTACTTGCGGTGTGCACCTCCTGTCTCCACTGGATTCTGTTACTGCCTGTCCGTTACGCCTCACTTTCCCTGAGTTTGGCTCCCCCTGCTTCCCTCCCCCTCACGCATTTCTCTCCTACTCATTTCGTTTTCCTGGGCATCATTCACGGCGTAGTCTGGCCCACTCGGAGCCTAGCAGGCCATGCCGTTTGGCCGTTGGTGGGGCCAGCCAAGGCCATTGGACAGGGGCCATGGGCGTGTTGTAATGACTTCAGGAACTGAAGAAGCAACACTCTGCACCTCCTAACCACATGCCACCGATGCACTAGAGGAGCAACCAAATAGCTTAAGCGTTTGCTTCCATAATGAAGGTCTCTAGCTTAAGTGTTTGTTTCCATAATGAATGTCTCAAGTTTTAACAGTCTTGAGACAGGATAATGAAAACACTGAGTGGTGGGACTGGAGGAATGGTTCGGTGGTTGAAAGAGTGTGCTGCTCTTGCAGAGGACCAGAGTTCGAGTCCCGGCCCCCCATGCCAGGGGCCCCACAACTGCCTGTAACTCTAGCTCAAGGGGATCTGACCAGCTTCTTTTGTTCTCCACAATCACCTGCACCCATATGTGATCCACAGACACACATGCACATAAATGAAATCTAAAAAAGACTAGCAGCACCAGATACATTGTAATTCTACATATGGAATGGAAGGGGAAGGAAAAACACTACAGGATAGAAGGGAAGGCTTACTAAATGCTGGCAGCCACTGCTGATTTATGTTTTTAAAGGTAGGGGTGTGTGTGTGTGTGTGTGTGTGTGTGTGTGTGTGTGTGTGTGTGTGTGTTTACAGGTATCTGTGGAGGCCAGGAGAGGGCTTTAGGCCTCAGCCTTGGAGGTTGTGAGCTGCCTGATATAGGTGATGGGGAGTCACCCTGGGGTCCCCCTCAGGTACCACAGAGTCAGCTCTCCAGTCCAGATTTTTAAGTTGGACTTTTATATGAAAAACAAATAGAACAGAGCTGGACTTTGGAGCGAGAAATATTTTATTTCCTGTATAAAATGTTGCTACTTTGGACATTATGAAGAAATTCTCTCCCATCAGTAGTGGTTAGCACTCCCCAGCTGCTGCTTGGAACACTCAGTGCAGCCATCCTCCTGTGCAGGACAGTGTCACCAGTCCATCAAATAGCATCTTAGTGATTTTAAAAATACTACTTCTGAGAGCTTTTAAAGCCTCAGCCTCGGCGGTTGGGTGCGTAGCTGGAGAAATTCTGTTACTTGTTGAGAAGAAAGCTGGAACTAGGAGCTCCCTGTGCCGCGAGTGGGCTGCTCCCCTGTCCTACCCACGACTGTCTCAGTGGGCTGATGCTGTGGCCGGTTTTTCCGTTTCCTATAATACTTCACGGCACTCGGGTCTTTCCGCTCTGTCCTTAGTCTGGGCCTTATATTTCAAAACAAGCTGCTAGCGTGCTTCGTCTCAGCCACGGCTTCCCGAAGTGACGTCTTCATGCTCGGCAATGGCACTAAAATGCATCTGGTGGTTGGCTTTCGTTTGTAGTGCTGGCCAGGCGAGCTGTGCAGGAGTACATCATGACATCAATCAAAGAAGTGCTGAGGGCTCACTTCAACCGTGCCGTGGAGCTGAAGGTGAGATCCTGAGCCTGGAATGCGTGCTGGGTCCCATGGGGGTGTGGTAAGAGCCCTGGGCTCTCCCACTCCTCGCCGGGTATACGGGTTACCCCCCTATGTCTCCGCTCACGTGTCATTTTACCCTGTGCAGTGGGAAATGCCTTTTTGTAGAGTTGGAAGAAAGAGGCTCTCAGAACAGAGGCAGCATAGTTTGGGGCCACCTTAAGAGTTATCGGTATCCTTGAGTGACGTTAATCAGTGACTGGGGCTTAGGGTAGGTTTCAGAGTGAGCACATTTGCGTCTTTCTGAACATTCAGTACGGCTGAGGTGGATGTCTGCACTGTTTACACCTGCTGATGGTGTCCCTTTCCCAGATGAGCTCAGAGAGCCACCCTCTCCTAGTCCTGCCCCTGTCTAACTAGAGCCCTGAGCCCTGAGCCGTGCTGGCCGTGGAGCATGTGAAATGGGTGGGCCTAACTAAAGATGCATGGTGGGTGTAACCGGATGCCGGATCTCAAAACTGCACCACATGAAGGACTGTAGACCGTCTCACTGGTAACTTTTGTGCTGCCAACACATTGGAAAGATGTCTCCCTTATTAAGCGAAATGTATTTAAAATTAGCTTCCCCAACTCCTCTACTTTTTCTGTGGCCGCCGTATACTTTAGAATGCTCAGGTGGCTGTCACTGTGTTATTTTAAACAGCAAGACTCAAAGAAACAAGTGCTCCTTCATGCGTGGCTTAAGCGTGACAGAAGTTAGAATTTTCCATAGCTCACTATGCAGCCTATCCTAGTGGCTGTCCTTTCTTCTTCTCCTGTACCTTCATGCTGTTTTTGTAAAAGCTGGGATAACGTGAAAGGAAGGAATGCATAAAATAAAATCTTGATTATTCTTGAAACATTTATCCTCCATTTAAGCTGCTGGTGTATTATTTTTTCTAGCCAACAGTTTTCTCTATGTTTGAATTGTTTTCTTTTTCTTTTATTTTTTGTTTCTCTAGGTTTATGAACTGTTCACAGACTTCACTTTTCTGGTAACATCTGGCCCTTTTATTTACACGGCAATATCAGTCATTAATGTCCTCATCAATAGCAAACTTGTGCGCGACCAAACTCCTCTCATCTTGTCTGTGAAGCCATCGTTCCTCGTGCCCGAGCCCAGGTTCCAAGTTCAAACAGGTGAGACAGCTGAGCGTGGATGTTTGGTTTGCATGTAGAATTTTACTTTTTAAGTTATGTACCTGTTTAGCACAGGTGTTTCTGTGCTGTTGAGATGGCTTCAGTGGGCACAGGGAGACCCGAGTTTGATCTCTGAAGCCCACATGGTCGAAAGGAGGGGAATGACTCCTGTAAGCTGTCCTTTGATCATTGTGTGCCTGTGCAGACATACGTGTGCACACACGTGCAATACATGTACAAATTGATGATTGTGCACACAGGTAGTACTCAGACACACACAGGCAAAACACCCACATACAGAAAAGTAAGTACAACCTCACAATTTTTAAATTGGGTATTTAAAAAAAATTATCCATTAATTCATTGCGACAGGTCTTGCTATGGTCCTAGTCTGGACTCGAACTTCGGTTTTGAGCAAACCCTCTGATGTGGCCTTCTTAGTAGCTAAGACTTTGTTCCTGGACTGCTGCACCTGGGCCTGTTACTTAACAACAGCAACAGCTGCTTTAGAAGTATGAAAAAAGCCAAGCATATACAGAGCTACACAAAGTAGTTTTGCGAACCCCCCCATGTGACATTATGTGGTCTCTACGTGTGCACATGCGTGTGGAGGCCAGAGTACAACTTGGGAGTTTTTGCTCGGACGCTGTCCACCTTGTTTTTTGAGACAGGCTATCCCACTGGCCTGGAGCTCGGCAACGAGGGATCTCTCCTCACCGGGCCACCCCGGCACCGTGAGTGCAGGCACCACCGTGATTGACTTTTCTCACGGGGCCTGGGGATGGATGTCAGGGCCTCGCGCTTGCAAGGCGAGGCGCCTTGTTGGTTGAACTATCTCCCCAATCATAACAGTTTTCAGTTCTCAGTCAGACTTTCTCTGCCTTCGCTCCCATTCTCGTCTCCCCACGTTATTCCATAGTCCATCTTGAGGACCATAAAACCTCACTCATGTGTCCTAGCCTGTCCATCTACAGGAAAAGGACTGTTAACCACAGGTGCACGCCTGTCCATGTCATCACACTCCCTACAGCTAACAGTAACCGCTTAAACCCTGTTTAATCTTCCATTATGGACATTTTCAGTCATGCACAAAAGTACAATACGCAATACTAAAGTTCACACATGCTTATTAGTAAGCTTGAAAAGTAATCAAGATTTTTGCCAGTTTTCAAGCAAAAAAATTGGTAAAACCCTTTTGAGGACTCAAGAATGTTTTAATGAACTGGGTGGTGGTGGCGCACACCTTTAATTCCAGCACTCAGAAGGCAGCAGCAGGTGGATCTCTGTGAGTTGGAGGCTAGCCCGGTCTACAAAGTGAGTTCCAGGACAGCCAGAGTGGTTAGAGAGAAACTCTGTCTCAAACACAAAACTCACAAAAAATGTTTTAATGTCATATCATTTCACCTACATGTACCTAATGAGTCATCTGTAGTAAATATTATATTTATTTGGAATGTTTATGAGTTACATCTTCTAGTGTGTAGCTTTTTAGCTGGACTTGAACTCCTGGCCCCAAGTGATTTCTCTGTCTCAGCATCCTGAGTCCCCCTGAGCTCAAAAGCATGCCAGTCACCTTCATGTTGCACGTGTTCACGTGGTAAGAAAGTTGGCTTTCTACATCTCTGTGAGAGGAAGCTTAGAAAACTCATCCTTGGCTCCCGGAAGCAATCAGTCAGCATCACCCTGTATCCTAAAGACGCAGTTGAGTAGCCCTGTCTCAGGAACCCACAGTCCTGCTTTGTGACCCTGGGAAGCCCTTGTTAGCCCACCGTAAGCAGCTTTGCCCCCAGAGATGCCCTCAAAGTAAATCCAGTGTGTAGCCCTCTTCCTACCAGATCTTTCTGCCTCCCTTAGGCCCCGAGAGTCACCCTGCCTTATTATCAGGAATGTTGGGGCATACCCCTCGATCCAGGGGGGTAGCCGCTGCCCTAAACGAGCTGTGGGAACTGCAGTGTACCCCACAGTCTGTGGAAATTGCAATGTACCCCACAGTTGGTGGTGAAGTCTCATAGCCTCTGCATCCTAGGCCATTAGGACACTTGGAGTCACAGCCTGTGTTGACTGTAGGGGAGGAGTTTTGCAGACACTGAACCGGGGAGCAAAGGAACACTGTTATCCACACGGCAGGAAGAAGTCTTTCCTTGTGGAAGCCGTCCCATAAAGGTGGCAGAGGCAGTGCTAGAGAGATGCTTGGCACCTCCGAGTGCTCACTGCTCTTCCGGAGGACACGGATTGGACTCCCTGCGCCTGTATTGAGCAGGCTCATGGCTGCTGAGCCCTCTCTTCCGGCCCCCACAGGTGGTCGCGCCGCACTTTCACATACTAAAAATAAAGCGTGTTTTTAAAGCGACAGAGGCCAGGAGTCCAGCAGGCATGCCAATGTTAATATAGGGCCACAAGGCAGATGGCAGAACAAGACAGCATGGTAGCTTTAAGGGGACACAGTCGCTCTCTAACAGACCCTAAAGAAAAAGAAAAAGATGGATTACCTGGGGAAGAAGTTAAAGAAAAATTTTAAAAGAAAAATTGATCTGTAGATTCGTTGCAGTTCCTGTGAAATTACTAATGGCATTCCTCACAGGTGTAAGGAGTGGTGATGATGTCCTCACAGGAGTAAGGGGGGTGGTAAGGACACAGAGAAAGTTGACTTCACATGTACTGTGTTTTTGTGTGTGCGCGTGTACACACACACACATGTGCTCACGCATGTGCATCTATTTATGTGTGTGCGTGCACAGACATGGGGGTCAGAGGATAACTTGTGAGAGCAGTTTCTTTCCTTCTGCGTCGTGACTTCCTGGGATCAAACTCAGGTCATCAGTGCTTTTATCCATTGAGCAACTCCGCTGGCCCTGATTTGTTTTTGTTGGTATATGTATATACACACATATTTACTTTGTGTGTGTGTGTGTGTGTGTGTGTGTGTGTGTGCGCGCGCACTTATGATGAATTTATGTGCACCACAGAGGCCAGAGGGCATCAGATTCCTTGGATTTGGAGTTACAGGATGTTGTGAACCACCTGTTGTGGGTTCTGGGACCTGAACCCAGGTCCTCCTGCAAAAGCAGTAAGAATTTTTGTCGACTGCTGGGCTATCTCTCCCAGGCTCTGCTTGCTTTGTTTTTGAAGACAGGGTCTTGCTATATAGCTCAGACTGTCTTTCACCCCTGATCATGTGATTACATAGGCATTGCAGAAAGCTAGAAGTTTACTTCATGGGCCAGTGATCACACATGTGTATGTAGGTTTGTGTATTGCAGTATGTTGGAAAGAGGTCTTCACTTGTGTCTCTTTGCAACTGCATCACAGAAAGCAAGCTAGGCAGTCAACCTGTGTGTTCACTGACACATGCACAGATGAAGAATTGTGGCATAGGCACATAATAGAATACCATCGAGCCACAAAGAACAAAATCCTTCAGTTCTCATGTCTGGAATTGGGGGGACGCTATACAAAGTGAGCTGTCAGAAACAAAAGGCCCGGTAGCATGTGTTCTCACTCACCCTGTGGAAGCAGATCTGAAAGTTGGGCGTAGAATAGTGATTTCCACACAGTCTGAGGAGGAAAGGAAGAGCGAGGAAGGCTAACCCTCCAGCATACAGCTGGGTAGGGGTAACTTTGTGTCTGTGACACAGTAGGAGGACTGCTCAACAACCACTGGCTGTACATTTAATGTTTTCAAAACTTTCATTTTAGTATGTGGGGGCTCTGCCTACATGTGTCTCTGCACCATGTATGTATGGTACTCTCAGAGGCCAGAAGAGGGCACTGGATTCCCGGGAGCTGGAGTTAGATGGTTGTGAGCTGCCCTGTGGATTCTGGAAATCCACCTGGGTTCTCTGTAAGAGCAAGCGATGCTCTTGACCACTGAGCCATCTCTCCAGCCCCCAGCTGTGTATTTAAAAATAGCCAGTAGGGACGATTTTGAACAATGCTGACTCAAATAATACATTTCTGAGCAACAGGTACATCACTGTGTACTTGTGTTGAAATGTTACAGTTTAACCATAAATATTCAGTGTATCGTGTACTCTTTCCTGCCAGTTGCCTGGGTCCCGCCGCTGTCTCTGCCCCCAAATAACACACGGAGACACTATATTAATTATGAAGCTGTTGGCCGTTTGCTATGGTTTCTTAATGGCTAGCTCTGACTTAATTATTAACCCATAACCGCTAATCTGAGTATTTTTTCCACGTGGTCTTCTCTTACCGGAGAAAGGGTCCGGACCTCTTACTTCTCTTGTGACCTACATGGTGACTGACTGTGCCTCCGTTTCCCAGAATCTCCCACCTCTCCTAGCCCCACCTGTCTTGTTTCCCTATTGGCCAACAGTGCTTTATTCATCAACCAATAGAACAAATACATACGCAGAAGGAAATCAATGCAGAAGAAAACAGACTCCTGTCACTCACCAAAATTACTGTGTTAACTAAGAACAAAAAGTATGTTTTACAAGGCTATCTTAAGAAAAAATATTGGGGCCTAGAGAGATGGCTCAGCAGTTAACGCTTGTTGCTCTCTCAGGGGACTGGGTTTCAGCTCCCAGCACCCACATGGTAGCCCAGAACCATCTGTAAATTCAGTTCCAGAGGATTCTGTGCCTTCTTCTGGCCTCTGCACACGTGTAGTACAGGCATAAATGCAAGCAAAACATCCATACACGTAAAATAAAAGTCAGTCAGTCTTAACAGACAAAAGCACCGCCTCCTGGTGCTAGCCCTCACACGGTGGATGCTCCTGACCCTGTCAGTACCGACTCCTCCCATCATTGATGCTGCAACGATAAACGGCACACTTATTGAGAGTATAGTTAAGTATTGTAGAAATTACTCACAAGAGAAAAACAAGCAACCCAGATGAGCCGAGTATTTTTCCACCGCCGAACTGGAAGCCGAAAAGAGGGCGGGAGGTTCTGCTGCTCAGTCTTTTATTCCCTTCCTCCATACACAATCCCTAGCCACGCTCCAAAGTGGGCCTGGCTAGTGGCGTAGTTCCGCGGCCCTGTCTCTAGTCACGCCCAAAGTGGGTGTGGTTAGCGGTGCGGTTCCGCCCTTTGGTTTCCACATCCTTATGGGTCTTTAGAGCGCCACATGGCTAATGGCGGAGTCGTGTTTCCCCTACACATCATTACTGGTCTTCAAGCAACACCTGGTTCACGAGACTTCGATTGCTGTGTTTCTTTTCAGTACTTCAGTTTGTGCCTCCAAGTGTGGATACTGGCTTTTGCAACTTCACCCAGAGCATCGAGAAAGGCCTGATGACCGCTCTCTTCGAAGTGAGGAAGCACCAGGGGGCGTATAACCTCACAGTACAGGTGAGAACGCCCCTGACCACGGGGCAGAATGCCTTGTCCTCCGCGCTAGGTGTGGTGTCACACATCCATAATCCCAGCACTCCGGAGGCAGAGGCAGGCAGATCTCTGTGAGTCCGAGGCCAGCCTGGTCTACAGAGCTAGTTCCAAGGCAGCCAGAGCTACATAGATCCTGTCTGCCGGGAGGGGTGTGTCCATCCTCCAGTGGCGGGAACCTGGCCCCTGTGGGCCAGGGCTGACCTTTGGTAAGGCCTGGGAGTCTACAGTGTGACATCAGAGATTTCAGAATGACTGCGAATCAGAGAGTCAGATGGGGTGAGTTGAAGGGCTGGTCGTGTGCAGGAAATCCAATAATGTTTCCATCTATACAGGAACGATCTTGGCTGCACGGTCAATGAGGCAGTACTGAATACACTTTCTGTTTTCAACAGTTTGAGTATCCTAGATCAGAAAGGCTTGGTGCCGCAATTGTCTCGTATGACAGAGCTTTTGGATTTGTTTGGAATATTTTGCATAGTTGGTTTCACTAACCCGAAAAGAGGGAATGATCTGAAATCTAAAACTTTTTGTGCATCATTGATGATGCTCCAGATGTTTTGGGCTTTGGGACACTTTAGTTTTCATGCCTGAGATGCTCCACCTCTGTTTAATGGGGCTCTTTGGGATGCGGCGTCTCTGTCCAAACAAGTGGTCCTCAACCTCCCTAATGCCGTGACCCTTTTAATACAGAGCCTCATGTTACAGTGACCTCCAAACATACAATTATTTCATTCCTACTTTGTAACTGTAATTTTGCTACTGTTATGAATCATAATGTAAGTATCTGATAACACAGGGTATCTGACATGTGACCTCTGTGAAAGGGTTGTTGGACCCCTGAAGGGGTCAAGACCCACAGGTTGAGGACCACTGGCTAAACATCGAGGATTCTTTTGATCAGCAGACTGGTTTCATGCATATTCTACTCAGACTACTGATGTCTTATAATGTGGCACACACCCCTACTCTTTGCTCCCTTTCTGAAATGTAGATTACCTCAGGAATCCGGCACTCCTGAATTCACTTTTTGTGCTTCTTAATTTTTCTTCGTATGGCACGGCGCTTTTTGCCAGAGATTTTGGAAAGTCTGTCCTCTGAGTCACTAATTTTGTCTTCAGCTGTGTCCATTCATACTGATATTCCTGGCTGGTTATTTCCCTGCATCGTTCTTTGTTCCTTTTCATTGCGTCCTTCGCTGAGACGTTAGCAAGTAGCCTTCTGAGGACCTTAAGTAGGATTTTAGAAAGGTTTTCTTCTGCGTTCTTCCTGTACACGACTGTCTTCTTTGTAGTGTTGTTCTGTATGTAGGAGGTTGGTTGGTGGGGAGGGAGGGAGATTGGGGTTAATTATGGCCGTTGGCCTGGCTGGCCCCTTTGGCTGTGGAGGCTTCCTCTGTGTCAGGCTGATGGGAGAAGTCATCTGCTCCCTGGGAGCTGGGGGAGAGTATAGCAGAGTACACCAGAGTGTGAGGTTCCATCTACAGCACTGTGTAGCTGTGGTCAGAGAGAAATAAGCAGGCTGGTCCCGCCCTGTGCGAGCTCAGGGGACCGGAGCCCTCCCGACTGAGTGTTTCTCGTGGCGTGGTGCACACTCCTTTCTCTCCCGCCCTCCTTGAGGAGGGTTGTAACCCACAAGAGGCCTCTGGTCTCCTCTGGGAGGGGCTCGTTTTCCTCAGAGGGTAGTTCTTTGGGCTGTTCAGGGAGATGGTACTGCTGGTGCCTGCCTTGGCCTGGGTGGGGATTCGGCAGGAAGAGGAAGGCAGTTCACTCCTGGCTTGCCTCCTCTTAATTAACTGATCCGATTCCTGCTCTGTAACCTATTTCTGGTCTCAGGTCTTCAGCGCTCTCCAGGGAGCCTCCCCAGCCACCCCCCTGCCCCCAGGAGACTGTGTTTTAGCCTTTGCTGGTGTGGGTGTAGGCTCTTGGTTCTCTGTCTCTCTCTGTCTCTGTCTCTCTCTGTCTCTGTCTCTCTCTGTCTCTGTCTCTCTCTCTCTGTCTCTGTCTCTGTCTCTCTCTCTCTCTTTCTCTCTGTTCTGGTTTATTTCAGCACCATCTTGTCCTTCCTTCATCTTTTAGAGATTTGACAGAACCTCTGGGTTTCTTCCGTTCTCCCTGTGGTGTGGATTTACTGCCCTTTGTTCAGTTAACTGTTATTTCAGGGGATTCGGGGCTGGAGGCGGAGTAGGGAGGGGCTGTGAATGCATGCGGTCAATGCTTCACTTAAATGTAAAAAACATTTCCCATAAACAGTGTTTAAAGCCTCTCAAAGAACGAGCAAGGTTAGAAGGCCAGCCCCTCTTCTTTTAGGATTTTACCCACACCTGTAATCCCAGCGCTTTGAAGTAAGAAGTTCCAGGCCTGGACAGCATAGCTGTCTTTAAGACATAAAGCATCTTTTCCCTTTACCCCCTTTGAAGAACATTGATCAGAGAGCTCTCGGTAGATCTCACGGTCAGGCTTTCAGTCCCACGCCTTCTGGCCTCCTTTCAGATTGTGAATGTCACCGTTGGTTCTTCGAGGGCGACTCCTCGGAGGGGCCCGGTGAATATTATCTTTGCTGTTAAAAGCACACACGGCTTTCTGAATGGGTCCGAGGTGAGCGATCTACTCCGGAACCTGACGGTGGTGGAGTTCAGCTTTTACTTGGGGTACCCGGTGCTGCAGATCGCAGAGCGTGAGTAATTACCAGCTGGGCTGGGGGTGGGGGGTGGGGGGAGCACTGGGGGGACGGGATTCCAGTGTTTTCATTGGTAGATCTCTACTTTAAAATATTTTTAACTCTAACAAGAGACCCAATTGGTTGGGTGGTGGTGGTGCACGCCTTTAATCCCAGCACTCAGGAAACAGAGGCAGGTGGATCTCTGAGTTCGAGGCCAGCCTGGTCTAGAGAGCGAGTTCCAGGACAGCCAGGACTACAAAGAGAAACCCTGTCTCAAAAACAACAGCAACAGGAACAAAATAAAACAAAACAAAAAACAGAAAATGAAAGATAGGGAGAGACACAGACAGACAGACAGACACACACACAGGGGGGAGAGAGAGAGAGACAGAGAGGGAGAGGGAGAGAGCCAGTTCTAGAGTGCTTTGGGAGTCAGTGATTGGGATCAGATGGAGGGAGGAATTTTCCTGTGGTCCTGCTGGCTCACAGGTACAATGTTTCCATCATAAAATTCCAACCATAATGGCCCATTGATCCAGCTTGCAGACACATGCTGACACAGGCACCCAGGGTCTATGGTAGGGCTCCCTCTCAGCGTTGCAGTCTTCGTGGTTTAAGTGAGTGTTTAGAGTTGTGTGCCTGCCTTCATAATGACATGTGCAGTGCATTCACTGGGCCCTCCCTTTCCATAGGACATATTTGACTGAACTCCTGAATAAAATCAGGACTTCTCAAGCCCAGGGGGGGGCTCCAGAGCAGTTCTCTGCCCCTGCGCCTCCTTTTCCTGTGTGCTTTTGGGAACAGAGGGGCACTATAAACAGTGTAGGTTCTAGAGAACCTAAACTACAGGGATGGGGAAAGGTGGAGGACATTTGACTCCAAAAGGGGCATGGAGGGGGGCTGGCTAGAGAATGAAACTCTGGGTCCTCACTTGGGGATGCTTAGCAATGCTGCATTTTCCCCAAACCAATGAAACTGGGTGCCAGAAAGAGTGAACTCTCTTGTGTATTAAGTTAGAGGCCAGCCTGGTCTACAGAGCCAGTTCCTGGACAGCCAAGGCTATGCAGAGAAACCCTGTCTCAGAAAAACAAAAACCAAAAAACAAACCCACAACCCAGAATAAATAATAAACCATAAAGATATGTATATAGACAAGTAGATGGGGATGCAGTTATTTGTGTATAACAATTTGGATTTTTGTACAGTATGTGTACATACAGCTAAAATAATAAGCAGAAGTACCCAGAGACAGTTCCCAGCAAGGCAGAACTGCTTCGCTTTACCCTGACGCATTGCGAGGAAGCTCTTGGCTCCGAAGAGCACAGCTTAGAAACGCTCTGCTCTAGAACCGCATATGTAGGGGATGCTGCAGGGACCTGTGTGGGAAGCAGTGGTCCGTGACGAGGCCAGAGAATCGCCTTTCTTTGCTTTCATCCTTCCCTCCCCTAGGGACTCAGGAACTGGTGCCTGTCTGTCTTCACACTCTTGGTATTTGGGGGTCTGGAAGAATGCTTTAGTGTAGGGTGGTGATGTGTGGTGATTTACCCCACGCTCCCACGACCCTTGCCTTCCTGAGTGAAAACATGTTTCTCACAGGCTTTTCTCCCTTTCCAACTCTTTCCTTTTTGCAGCCTTCCAGTACCCACAGCTCAACCTATCCCAGTTACTGAAGTCCTCTTGGGTCAGAACAGGTACGTTCAGTTTATGTAATGTTTGGAGACCTATCTGGTAAGAAGTCTGCGAACTTCTGGGGGAATGATGCTTCCCTTCCTGATTCCTGAATTGAGGACAAGATGTACTTTGAATTCTTGGCAGAGAATGAATGACAAAAGGGATTCGATTTGCGCTATGGGGATGTGTCCCACTGAGTTATGGTACAGAAAGGGCTTCTTTTACATTCCTGCGTCAAGTCCAGGGCAGAGTCTTCCTGGAATCCGCAGTCTCCTGACCTGAGGTAGGATGAAGCAGGCTGAAAATAGTTTTTTCCTGAAAGCATTGCTAGATGGATACAGTAGTTTATGACCAGGGTCAGGTATTTAGACAGACTTGGGCACATCCAGGTTGATAGCCCACAGATAGTGCCATGTATTTAGACAGAGGACGTGACATTTCAGCGCAAAGCTCTCTGACCTGGTCCTTGAATGCTAGGAGTCCCAGGTGCCAGTGTGCAAGCAGCCTGTGACCAGTCATAAGGAAAGAGGGTGTCTCAGTAGGGACAGTCACCATTTATGGGCTCTGAAGCCTTGTGTGGGACTCAACTCTTTGCCACATTGCTTAGATTCCTTTTCCAGACCTCAGACTGTTGAAGGGACATACTTGCCTAGCATTGGAGAGAGTTGAGACCAGTTTGGCTCAAAGGCTGTTTCCTCATCAACTGGAGGATAAGCTGATTATCTGTTGAGATACTTTTGTCTGATACAGATAACAAGAAGCAGGCAGATCCCATCTCCTCAAAGGAGACTGTAAGTGGACGTCCAGAGACAAGATAAGAACTCAGACTGTCCAAAAGTTTGAGGTAGCCCGGACGACAGGATGCTCGTCTGATCTTAGCTAGATGCTGTGAGCTCAGAACTCCCATGGCTGAGTTTCCTGGGACTTCTCGTCTTCAGTTTGCCATAGACTCGGGCCTCTTCTGGGGCCCTTTACCCTGTTACCATCTAGTTTCCCTCTAAGTCTCCTGTCTAGTAATGAATGTTTTGTGGTAATCTTGTATGGGATTTTTGCACATGTGCACACACCCAGGCTACACACACGCTCGAGCGCACGCGGCGCGCGCACACACACACACACACACACACACACACACACACACACACACACACAGCGCGCGCACTGTTTGTTCCTGTCTATGCTGACTTGCTGAGTGCTTTGTTTCTTGTTGAACACAGTCCTCCTGGGCGTAGTGGAGAAGCAGCTCCATAATGATGTGTTTCCAGCAGAGATGGAGCGCAAACTGGCCCAGCTGCTCAGTGAGGTACCCGCCAGGAGAAGAATGTGGCGGAGGGCCACGGTGGCCGCCGGGAACAGCATGGTGCAGGTACTCACTGAGGGAGGGCAGGGAGCAGGGAAAAGTCTAGCGTGCACATGGCAGTCTTGTCTGGTCTTAGGGACCAGACAGAAACCTTAGCCTCGTTGGCCTAGCCCTGGACTGCAGGGGGCGTAGTAGGAAACTTACCCCGGGTTCCTATATCACCATAAGGCTTTGTTTTTTTTTTGGTTTGTTTGTTTCTTTTTTGTTGTTGCTTTTTGTTTTGTTTTTGTTTTTGTTTTGAGGAGCAGTTTTTAAAATCACTAGCAGCTGAACTTGTTTAGAAATGAACCGTTGACCTGAGGGAGCCCTACGCAGACAGAGGGGCATTTTCTGCCCTCTCTTCAGAAATTGCATCCTCGCCTCCTCCCGCCAGCCTGACTGTCTTCTGTTACCCCAAGTCGTCTGCTCTCTGGGCATCGGGCAGGCAGGCCGCAGAAGCAGATCTGGTAGAATTGAAAGGTGACCTATTTTTTAAAGACGCACACACTCGCAGAGCTTCGGGCGTGGAGCTGCTGCTTTATTCCTGCCCCTGTGTGGATGGTGGTGGTTTCTTTCTTTACCAATCAGTTGCAGACTTGAGGATCACAGAAAATGGGGTTCGAAGACTATTCCAGAGACCCAGAACTAGGTGGAGCCCAGCAGTGAAGGGTGACCATGGGTGGGACGGGGTCGGGGGGGTGGGGTGGGGTGGTGGTAACCAGGTGTCCAGAACAAGGTAGGGAAGTGACACGGACAGGTCAGGGTGCCAGTTTCGCCTAGTGTTCTTGTCCCCTAGCACCCTCACCAAACGTGTCCCTCTCAGCCTTGTCTCCGTTCCCCACCCAGAAAATGTGGTTCTTGGGCTCCCACAATAGTTTCCTTGCCAAGTACAGTACACTAGGGAAGTTGTTTACAAAGTACTAAGGTTTTAAATATTTATTTTTATAATTTTTAGTTATGTATGTGCGTGTGTAACGGCGTGTGCCTGTGAGTGCAGGTGCCTGTGGAGGCCTCTGAAGCTGGTGTCACAGTTGACTGTGAGCCATCCTCCATGGGTTCTGAGACTTGAACTCAGATCATCCCTGAGAGCAGTACATGCTTTAAACCGCTGAGCCGCCTCTCCAGCCCAAAATACTAAGACATTTAAAAAAAACAACAGCTAATGAAAGAAAAAGGAAAATTACTAATAAATGCCCATTGATTAAGTAAGCATACAACAGTAAACATCAAAATGAGTCGTGAAGACCTTGCCTTATTCAGTGTGTGCATATAAAACAGCTACAGGGCACCAGAACCCTGGGTGATCAGGCGCTAAATTGGATACTCAAACTTCTTAAGGTAGGAGCATCATCAGGTCTGTGGAAGGTAACCAAGCTTCCTCAGACCAATGCCACCTGACAGGTTGCCCAGAGGCCACTCTCTGTTTTCGGCCTCCATAAAAGGTATTGTGTACAAAAGCTCAAGGCTCTTCGCCTGAGCCTTACTTGTGGAAATGAGAATGCTGAACAAGGGCTAGAGAGATGGCACTTGCTGCCAAGTCTGATGGCCTGAGTTTGAGTCCCAGGCCTCACGTGGTTGAAAGTGAGAATGGACTCCTGCAAGTTTTCCTCTGACTCCCACCTGTGCAAGGAGGGACACGTGTGCTCACATGTGCACACACATGCACACACGTGCACACACATGCACACACATGCACACACGAGCACACGTGCATACACATGCACACACAAGCAAGTAAGTGCCGTTTTAAAAATTAACAAAAGAGCCAGGCATGGCGGTGCATGCCTTTAATCGCAGCACTAGGGAAGTGGAGGCAGATAAATCTAAGAGTCAGAGGTCGGCCCGGTCTGCATAGCAAGTTCCAGGCCCGCCAGCGGTGCAGAGTGAGACCTAGTTTCAACCCCCTCCCAGTTAACAAAAGAGATAAGAAAATAATGAGCCAACATAATTGTCTAGGAATTAGGGAGCAGGTCAAGACTAAGCCTTTATGTTTTAGAGTATTCTCCAGCAGTTTAGACAACTAGTAAATGTAGCAATGTGCTCCAGAAAGGCTCTAAGAGAGGATCGTGAAGAACAACCCTGAAGTGACAGAGAATTCAGAGGGAACAACAGGGAAGTATGCTTAAGTCCTTACAGTGGTTTTCTTTAACTGGCTGAATTTCCAGAGGGTTTCATTTTATTCTTTACAGTTTTTTTTTTACTGTGTTTTTCAAAGTATCCTCATTGGGCCACATTTGTGTAACACAGACATCCTTGGTCACCCCAGTGGTTGACCTTGCATATTGTGGTTCCCGATATAAGTCTGATAAGCCATCCTCTAGAAAGAATGCTGGAGTTAGACCTTGCTATGGCCCCTGCTAGCCTGGACAGTTTTCGGAGTCTTTCATGAAAGTGTCTTCTCCCGAGAATGTGATTTCTATGATAGAGTTCCCAGACCTGTTAGCATGAGGTAGACATGACATGGTGAGTTTGTTGGAGGTTTTCAGTTGTGATTCCAGACTGTCCGGTGCTATTCTGTGCACTGCATTGTGCACAGACATCAAAACAAAACAAAGTACAGTTGCTGTTCTACACAGAAGGACTTTCCATTGTAACCGTCTTCGCCAGTGGAGAGCGCCGAGGAGATTCTGGGACTCTGGAAGTGGCAATGAGCTTTGTCAGAGGACTGGGACAAATGCCAAGTCACTCACGAGGGGCTGAGTGCCCTGGGAAGGGGCTTCCGGCAGCCTCCCTGATGCTGGTGGACTCTGTCACAGGTGGTGAACGTGTCCAGGCTGGAGGGAGCTGACAATCCGGTGCAGCTCATCTACTTTGTGGAGAATCAAGATGGAGAGAGACTCAGTGCAGCCCAGTCTTCAGATCTGATCAACAAGGTAGACCTCCAGAGAGCGGCCATCATCTTGGGGTACCGGATTCAAGGTGCCATTGCCCAGCGTAAGTCCAAGAGTTTTATTCTGATAGCCCTGCCAGAGTCCAAAGCCTCTTGTGTTCTGAGAGAGTGAGCTCTGAACTATAGCGTTCTGACCTGTGTGTAGTAGATTAATGTCTTAAAACCTTGTCCTGAAGTAGTGTTTATGCAAGATGCTAGTGGTTGATGTCCGTTGGCTGAGACTTTCTCGTATTTCTTCTTAAATTGATTTATCATAAATCATAGAATACACACTGCATGTGTGTGTGTGTGTGTGTGTGTGTGTGTGTGTGTGTGCGCGCGCGCGCGCGCCATGATGCATGTGTGGAGATCAGAGGACAGCTTTGTAGACTCAGTTCTTTCCTTCCATCTTTATGGGGCTCTGGGGTTCCAGCTCAGGCCATCAGGGCTTGTGTGGCTTCATTTGTGCTTTATTTGCTGAGGCCCTCTTTGTTTTTATTTCCATCTGTGGAACTGTGGCCATTGCTGCTGCTTTTTCCTGCCCCACACGCCATATTCATGGAGTTGCTGGTGAGCCTCCAGACCTTATACCAACACGAACATCCTCCCCGCTACCCCCGTACGCGTTTTCATTTTGAAAGCCGTCTTAGGTAAAATAATGCACCTATTCTGCTTTTATTCCCAAATCTTCCACGTCCCACCATGCGTGTTGGTGGGGATGGTGAGTCACTCAGGAAGCTGGGAGGTGCCCTCTGAGTTGACTGGCTTCCTTCGGGGTCTTTTAACACAAAGGAGTCCCTTGATCCTTACCCTCTTTCAGACCTGTTTCTCCCTCACCCTTGCCTCACACAACTCTGCATTTAGAAAGGCGTGTTTGATATTTCTTGTTATTGTTGGAAGGTACGTGGCCCTGCCCTCTGGCAATGGCTGCTCTCAATACCTCTTTTCCAACTGCCAGATTTGGGGTGTGTATTTGAAGTGAAGACCTAAGGAGCAGCATGGAGAGCATAACTCTCTAAATGTGATTTTACAAGTTAGACTGCTGTCTTAGTGTGGGTGTTTCTCCCCATGATCCAGAGCAGTCCTTGGTAGTGTGGGATGGCCTGCTTCCCGAAGTGGAGAGACAGGCAGATGTCTTGACATCAGAGAATCCTGAAGAACTTTCTTTAGTGAGGACAGGTAGGAGACAATGTAAGCTTTTTTCTCCCTTCATCAGTATGTTGATTAAAAACGTAGATGGATGGCCCCGTGTAAAAATGTCATTGTGGAGGCATGCTGACGTTCACAAATACACCCCAGACAGATGTAAACATGCAGTCAGAAATGACCACTAAGACGTTTCCATTTCAGACGTAATTTTGAAATGAACACTTGTAAGAACTTGGAGTTGGCATAATACACAATTCCCTGTGGGTGCTAAAAACCAAACCCAAGTCCTCTGGAAGAGCCACAGTGCTCTTAGCCACGGAGGTGTGTCTCCAGCCCAGCCGTTAAACAGTACCTTTGAAATGACCCCTTTGGTAAAGGCTTTGGTGAAGTCAGTTCCTGTCCCTGGAGACTGACCGAGGTGAGTGCTGCTGTGTGCCCTGACGGACGGTGGTGTGAGAGAGGACGTGATGCTGTCAGTAGACTTGTGTGCTCCAGAGATGACTGCGTATTAGTGGGGTCTGTTTCAAGTCAGCGAGGGAATAACACGGAAGTACTTCCTAACGCAGCGTCCAGAGCCAGAGGTGGACGATGACAGAGCTGCTTCCCTCTGAGTTTTATACAAGGTTGGTTTCTCGAGGATACGGCCACCTTTCTGTTGGGGGTTGGCAGGGAGTTAGGAAATGGTGGGGTGCAGGTTTTCACATACTGGCCCATCAGCAAGTGAGTCCACGATCCTTCAAGTGCCTGTCATTGACCACAGAGCTACAAGATTAGTCTTTATTAAATAATGACAGTTCCACAAGTAGCTTCTGGCTGGCCCCAAGCTAAGACAAACCAAAGGTGGTGAACACGGTCCGAGAGGCGGTAGACTAACACCTGTGAAACGTGGTGAGCCATTTCCTCCTTCTAAAACTCACATCATGACTTGGACCACACACGTGCTGTGAACCCCCCCCCCAAGTTCAGATGACCACTATGTGAGCCTGCACAGGGGGTTCCAGGCCTGTGTGAGCGTAGTAGGACTTGTACAGCTTGGCTAGCACTCACAGGGAACTCTGCATGGCACACTCGTGTATCGTCTCCCTTGACATGGCTGTCCATACCAAACATGCACGCAACAAGGACCCGAAAAGGCGCAGCCTGGCTTCCGTACACATGGGGTCCCGCGTCCTCCCCTGGGAACGGTGTCACCCTGAGTCTACCCTGGGAGCAAAGACTCAGACAGCCTTTGTGACCTGCCTCCCCTCCTCAAGGTGTACTTCACTCATTGTATTAAAAGCTTAGTTGACCCTTGCTTGTCTCCTTCCTTGTCTGTGATGTGTCCCAACGAGTCTCCTGACCTGAGGACGCTCAAGGCCATGTGGGGCAAACATCCTGGGATTCCAGGGTTGGGAGAAGAAGCCTCACTCCCTACCAGGGCCAGTCACGGGGCCTTGAGGACACCTGTCTGTCTGTCTGTCTGTGGTTTTCCTAGATTATAACTGGCAGGAGTATCAGTTCGCTCCGTCACCATGCCCGCGTTATTTTGCTCTTAGGCAAAATGAGCTTACTAATAATGTACATTCCATCCAGGCCACATTTTAAAATACACATCTCGTTTTCTCCCTGGTAAACATGAACTTCTCTAGGACTTTTTGTGGGGGCTGGAGAGGTGGCTCAGTTGTTGAGAGCACTGGCTGCTCTTCCAGAGGACCCGGGATGGATACACTGAACCCACATGGCAGCTCACAAGCCCCTGTAACTCCGATTCCAGGGGATCTGACACCCTCTTCTGACCCCCGAGTGTACTGCATGCAGGCAGAGCTCTTATACATGAGAAGTAAAAATAAACAATGACTCTTCAGTAAAAGTACAGTCTTTTGTGTTGTTCCAGCTCTGAGCAGATGTATTTTCATCCTTGAGCAGGTGTTAGCTACTGAGACAGGAGGGAGCGTATGGCTTAGTCCCTCCGGTCATGATTTAGGGGCATTTGAAAAGACAGGACTTGGAAGCTGGGGTGAGCAGAACGACGAGGAGCTAGCTGCACAGCATCTAAAGCTGAGACTTCGATGTATGAAGGGGCAGTGAGAGAACAGTGAGGAACCATCTTGGAAGCAAAGAGCAGAGTGTTGTCACGGGGAGGCAGGGGTGGGCACTAACCTAACCCACTTCCTGTTTAAAAGCTGAATAGCACTCTGCTGCGTGGATATACCCGCCTTTGGTTTATCCATTCGAGTGTTGGTGGCTTTGGGCTTCCCCTCTGTAGCTGTTGTGTAAGTGCAGCTATGAACAGCACCATCTCTGTCATGTTTTCAGGTCTGAGGTGGACATGCCCAGTTGCCTTTTCTTTTGTGGTGCTGTAACTTGTAGTCGGATATTTCTGTGGGGACCGGCGGCTCCCTAGTAATGACACAGAGACTTATTACTAATCATGACAGCTTGGCCCGTAGCTTGGGCTTGTCCCGCTAGCTCTTATAACTGAAATCGACCCATTTCTGTTCATTCATGTACTGCACAAAAAGATTATTCTACACCAGTAACTCTCTGGCTGTTTCCTCTGGTATATAGCACTAGAAGCAAATACCATTATTTGGGGATTCACTTCTTGGTAGTTTTCCCTCCCACCTCTAGACCCAGCGCCCCTTGAGGGGTTTCGTCTGCTTTTTCATGAGCACATCTCACCTATAGAAGGGTGTCTGGCACCGTCAGTAAACACGAGTGGATGAGGACAGGGAGGGGAGTGAGTTGGTGAATGGGGAGAGCTTCCTTCCCGGGTCTCCAGGTTCCAGCTTACGCTTTTTCCAGAGCTCCGTTGGATATGGTGTCCGCAGCTGTGTCTGAACACATAGCTTCTCTTCTCACACTGGAGGAGAGCCGTCTCGAATGAGGTTGTACAGAACTATTTCATGAGATGTTATTGGAGCTAGAAGAATAAGCTAGACACCGGGAGACTAGAATCAGCCAAGCTTTTGTCCTCCGATACATATGTGTCATCGTGATCCCTGGTGTGTTCCTTGTGCAACCTTTGCATGTACGTCTTGAGCTGGATGGCAAGCCCCCGAGTCTCTGGGAGGGAGGCGCATCCTGTCCAGCAAATGAGTGAAGAGCGCGTTGCTGAGAGCCTTTCTCCCTGCCCTGCTCATCTGCAGCTGTGGACAGAGTGAAGCGGCCGTCCCCGGAGTCACAGAGCAGCAACCTATGGGTCGTGGTTGGCGTGGTCATCCCCGTGCTAGTGGTCACCGTGATCGTCGTCATCCTCTACTGGAAGCTGTGCCGCACAGACAAGCTCGATTTCCAGCCTGACACCGTGGCCAACATACAGCAGCGGCAGAAGGTGAGCGCCCACTCTAGAGTCTGCATGAGCATGGGGGGGGAACAGGGCGCAGAAGGTAAGGGGGGGGGCGCAGAAGGTGAGCGCCCACTCCAGAGTCCACATGAGCATCCTGGGGGCGGGGGGGCAGGGCGCAGAAGGTGAGCGCCCACTCCAGAGTCCACATGAGCATCCTGGGGCGGGGGGCAGGGCGCAGAAGGTGAGCATCCACTCCAGAGTCCACATGAGCATCCTGGGGGCGGGGGCAGGCGCAGAAGGTGAGCGTCCACTCCAGAGTCCACATGAGCATCCTGGGGGCGGGGGGCAGGGCGCAGAAGGTGAGCGTCCACTCCAGAGTCCACCTGAGCATCCTGGGGGGCGGGGCTCCAGAGTCCACATGAGCATCCTGGGGGGCGGGGCGCAGAAGGTGAGCGCCCACTCCAGAGTCCACATGAGCATCCTGGGGGGCGGGGCTCCAGAGTCCACATGAGCATCCTGGGGGGCAGGGCGCAGAAGGTGAGCGCCCACTCCAGAGTCCACATGAGCATCTTGGGGGCGGGGCGCAGAAGGTGAGTGCTCACTCCAGAGTCCACATGAGCATCCTGGGGGAGGGGGATGCAGGAGCAAGTCCAAGCTTGGGTGCCGAAAGACTAGGGGGGCATTGAAAGAATTCTCTGGTCTAGTGGTGGGGTCCTCTGTCTTCATGTCTGTTTACCGTAGCTCCAGATCTCTGTCTCAGTAATATCTCCCAGGAACAAGACCTGTGAAAGCAGGCAGAGTGATCCTGGGGTCCCTGTGATTTTAATTTGGAGAGGTTCAGTGTGTCAGTTCATTCTGGGAATGGGTTGTGATCTGTTTACTCTGGCTGGTTTTGGAGAGCAGTGGCCATGCAGATTCCCTCAGGTCTGTGTGTATCTTCCCTCATGCACAGGTCCTCTAGAGGGCTCTGTTAGTTTCTTTCTGTCCATGCTGGAAAGCTGTGTGTGTGTGTGTGTGTGTGTGTGTGTGTGTGTGTGTGTGTGTGTGTATGTGTGTGGTGTGAGTGTGTGTGTGGTGTGAGTGTGTGTGTGGTATGAGTGTGTGTGGTGTGAGTGTGTGGTGTGAGTGTGTGGTGTGAGTGTGTGGTGTGCGTGCCTGAGGGGGTCAGAAGAGGATGCTGAGTTCTCTGGAGCTAGAGGTGTTTGTGAGCTACCCAGTGTGGGTGCTGGGAACCAAACTCTGGTCCTCTGGAAGATCAACAAGTGATCTTAACCACAGAGTCATCTCCCCAGTCATTAGTAATTAAAATTGGTCATAGGTGTTTCAGAGGTCAGCAGACTGGTGGGCCAGTCGCCAGCGTGCCTTGCTGTTGTGTTGAGTGGCTGTCTGCTGAGGGGCTCTCAGAGGGTCATCTTGAAACACACAGCCTCTTATGCATCACCTGCTGTTCCTCTTGTGTTTTTCTTTACATAAGAACAAAGAAATCTCAGTCCCAGATCCTCTGGGTTCTTAAAAATGCCCCTTTCGCCAGGCGGTGGTGGCGCATGCCTTTAATCCCAGCACTCGGGAGGCAGAGGCAGGCAGATCTCTGGGAGTTCGAGGCCGGGCTGGACCGATAGCCTCCAAAACAATACAGAGAAACCCTGTCTAGTAAAAACCAAAAAAAAAAAAAAAAATGCCCCTTTCATGTTTTCCATGCCCCTGCTGGACTCCCTAGGTTTTTTGGGGGGGTTTGTTGTTAAGTTGATTCACCTACACCTAATTTGACAGCAATTGCTTTTAGCTCCCCATTTGTCATTTGTGTCTCTAAAGCATTGGGGTTTGTAGAAATAGCGATTCATACGAGTATTTCAGGACTGTCTCTGATATTGTTGTGTGAGCTTTCATAGCAAAGACATTGACTTGGGGTCAGCATCCAGCAGTTCACTTGGTGTGAACAAAAACCTCGCCTGCAATCCAGAGGCAGTCTAGCTGCAGACATGGACCAGCGTGCATTTCAGTCTGTCTGTTGTCTGAAGTGTTTGTTAGCACATGCCTACTGGGTAAATCTTGGGAGGCTTGCTCTGCTCTGAAGGTGGTAAGACCAAGCAAATGGCACACGAGCAAGAAATAAAGTGCCATAGTAGCATTCTGATTTTATTCTGATGGTCTTAAATAAAATCTGTCCCAGCCCTTGGGAAGTAGAGGCGGGAACACTACAGTTCAAGGCCAGCTGGGACTTTACAGTAAGGTGCAGTTTCCAAACCCAAACCAAGACTTAGTGGGCTGAGAAGATGGCTCAGTTACAAAGGCACTTGCCGTGCAAGCATAAGGACCAAGGCTTAGATCCTCACACCTACATAAAAGCTAGGGAGGGTGGTGACTGCCTGTAACCCCAGAGAATCTGAGGCGGGGACAGGATCTGTGGGACAAGATGACTAGCTAGACTAGAGGGGTGTGTGAGCTCTGGGCTCGGGGAGAGACGCGGGCTGAGAGTGATTAGGGAGACAGCTGACATCAGCATGTGAACACACACCCACCACATACCACACACAGAACCCATGGAAGAACAAAAGCCATCAATATCACAGACCCAGACCCCAGCCTCCTTAAACGAAGCCGTAAGTTGCAGTTTTAAATTTGTTATATACCTATAATAGCAAGTAAAGAGTGTTTTGTTTTCTTATGAATTAATCTAATGAAGAATCTTAATTATGTTGCGAGCTTACGGCTGTCAGTATGCTAGCAGTGTTTTATACACGAATGTTCTCTTCCCCCCATACTCACTGTTTACATAGTCGGTTAGTGTCTACAGGTGTTATTGTTTCAGTAACCAATGACGCGGAAAAGGTGCGCCGTGGTGCGCAGTGGTTTGCAGCAGGAAATCAGATCAACAGTAGGGAGGGAAATGTTTTGTTCTGGCGAAAGAGTGTTGTTACAGGGAGACTTAGCCCCTGGAGTTGGCTGTATGTTTAGGTCTTCTCTGTTCTTTGCTTCCGAGATGCATATTCCTTGTGGAAGCCTTGTCCGTTATAAACTGTCGGCAGTCAGCATCTCTTAAACCGAAAACAAGATATCCCCCAAGCTTTTTCTTCTCACTTCTGCTTCTGTGATATGTCCATGTGCCAGGTGTTGCTATAAATCACATGGATGGTTCCAAATGGAACCTCAAGCCTGGAGAGTTGCCCTTTCTTCAGGGGCTGCAGGGGTCTGTGTGTACACACTTAGAGCTTGTTCCAGCAAAGATCCGCACGCTAGAACCGCAAGGAAGTGATGTCTGCTCACCCATCAGGAGGCAAGCCTGCCTTCTCCTGCCGGCCTGGTGGCTCTCTGCGCATGCTTGCCATGGGTCTGCAGTAGGAAGACAGTGACCTCCCATTGGCTGAAAACAAACTTCTGAGGCTGCACAGCTGTGGTGAAGGGTCTGTCGCCTGTTGCCTGTCTCTTGAGGTTAAAGAGTGAGGTGCTGTCCCTGTCACTGTCGGGTCCGTTTCCCTGCTCCCGTGGCTGTCTCTCCCCGTCCTGCTCAAACCCTCCCCCGCTTCCCCGTGTTACTCGGTGAAATCCTCCAGAGTTGCAAACATCTGGAAACAATAAATCTACTGACCTGCGCTCCCCACCCCCTTCCCTTGTAAGGAAGAGACTGCTTCAGATTGTCCGAGGGTCCATGATTTTTGAAATATGATAAGAGGGAGGGACCACGATATATCTTAGGTTTCTAGCAGGCCTTTCTGATTTCTAGTGACAAAGGGAAAACTCCGCGGATCTTTCTTTGTATTTGCTTTAATCTCGGTCCAAAACCATCATTTGTTATTATTACCTACGAGATTACGGTGTGGATCCTTCTCTCCATAAATGGATGGATGCTTGCAGGCCCCGTGGGAATGTGTTTCTTTTGATGGGGATAGCCCATACCGATTATTAACATGGAATTGTAGCCCCTGGGTGGTTCACATCCTCAGTTGCTACTAAAGTTGGCACTGTGGGCAGCTAGGAGGACGTGCCCATACCACGCACCACATCCATTGTCTGGACTCCTAGAAGTGTCCAGGCCAGACAGACTAAGTTACAAGCACAGATAGCAGGCACTCTCTCTGTCCTATGGGGTGATAGAAGTCCCAGTCTCCCCTAAATTAACCTGGAGCTGTACAAGCATGGCACATGTGGGCTGTGGCAGCTGGGGAATGGGAGGGAGGGCATTCTGCTTCCTTCTGACAGGTGATGCTGGGCTGTAACTGAAGTGCAAGAGACAGCGTGGGCCTCTGTCCCCGTCACGGCTCTACACCATGGCCAAAGCGACTCTTACAAAAGAAAGCATTTAACTGGGGCCTGGCTTGCAGTTTCAGAGGTTTGGTCCATTGTCATCGTGGTAAGAATGGTAGCACACAGGCAGGCTCGGTGCTGGAGAAACAGCTCAGAGTTCTACATCTGCAGGCAGCAGAGAGAGAGAGACTGGTTGGACCTGGCATGGGCTTTTGAGACCTCAAAGTCCACCACCACTGACACACTCCTACGAGGCCACACCGCCTAATCCTTCTAATCCTTTTAAAGAGTCCCGCTCCCTGATGACTAAGCATTCAAATCTGTGAACTGATGGGGGCCAGTTTTCCTAAGCCACCACTACCTCTGAAGGGGGTCTATGTAGGGGCTAAGGAGAGCTGGAGCAAGCTCGTAAGGAAGCTCACATGTGACAGAGGACCCATCTCAAGAGCCCCGTAGGAGTCTCTGGAATTGGAACAGGTGCCACAGGCAGCCATTGCAGGCTGTCTGACAGGGGGTGCAGTCTGGACATCTATCCTCTGCCGTGGCCGCTCGGGAAGGCAGTGTGGATAGTGCTCGAAGAGAAATGCCACCAGGTACTCCTCCCTAGCTCCCATCAGAATCTTCTGGATGGTTAACACTCGAGAGTCTCAGTCACCCAGCCCTCTGCCCATGGTTCAGTGTGGCCTGTGGGTCCCAGCACAGCAGAGTCCTCTCAGCTCAAGGCCCACAGGGCCCCAGATGACCTGACTGAAGACCAACAGAGCGCTGTAACTCCCTTGTCTTCACTTTTAAAGTGGAAACAC